GGGGGGGGGATACTAGGTATGTTCCGACAAAATCGGTTGAATTTTTTAACAATTTTTCTATCTCTCCTGTCTTTAAACTTATAGGTATATATTTTACTATCTGGAATGGGGGTTATGCATATACACCAAGAACATTTTCAATCAAATATTGAATTGACTGTGTCTAGATCATATTATGTTAACTTTTCTGAAATTGGGCATAAAATGTCTGAAATGGGGTGAGAGGTCTTACAATTTGTTCACATTTTTCTTTAAAGATATGAACAAAATAGAGGAAAAAGGCGGTTCCAAGAGTCATGGAAGACAGGCAGACCTTGGCTGCAAGTATCTAGTGATTTAATGATGAAGCTCCCAATGAGTTTTGCTGGATGACAGCTAAAGTTGAGACACTGAAGTCCCATGAATCCAGTAAAGCTCACATCAAAAGTGTTGGTGTCATGAAAGGGAGAACACTTATTGCTAAAGGAGAGAGAACTGAAGCTCAGAAAAGTATTGAGAGTTTGAATCCATTCCTTTTAGTTCTTAAGAACAAATCCATTAAAATGTTGTTGACCTCTGTGACCTTGAGAGTAGGTCAAGGTCACTTTCATTCGCAAACTTTGTTGGGCTCTTTCCCAGGAAATAACCAGCCGAATAGTAAGGTTCTATAACTTCCAGTTCTTCAGAAGAAGTCATTTGAAGTGTTTGACATATCTGCCTCATGTGACCTTAAAAATATATCAAGGTCATTTTCATTCTCAAACTTTGTTGGGCTCTTTCCTAGGAAGCTACAAGCCAAATATAAAGATTCTATACCTTTCAGTTGTTCAGAAGAAGTCGTTTGAAGTGTCTGACACATTTGACCCCTGTGACCTTGAAAGAAGGTCAAGGTTATTTTCTTCCTTAAACTTTGTCGGGCTCTATCTCAGGAAGCCATCAACCAAATATAAAGATTCTATATACCTTTCGGTTCTTCAGAAGAAGTCATTTGAAGCTTTTGACACATTTGACCCCTGTGACCTTTACAGTAGGTCAAGGTCATTTTCGTTCTCAAACTTTGTAGGGCTCCTACCAACAAAGCTTTCAGCCAAATATCATGACTCTAGGCCTGTCCGTTCTTCAGAAGAAGTTGGTTAAAGGAAAAGTTGACGGACGACGGACGCCGCACCACGACATAAGCTCACCTGCCCGAATAATAATAACAACACGAAAATACAATAATTTTTTAGCCAGATGGGATTTTACGGCTCTCTGCCGGAGTAAATATAGTCTTTATTAGTATATTTCTTAACAATATTCTCAAATATATATATACACTAATCAAGCAATATGTGGTGGACCGGCGGTCCACCAATCTTTAGAGATTAAGTGGACCGTCCAAGATTTTGGTGGACCCGGTCCTCCGTTCTACCCTTAGTGTCGACCCCTGTGTATCTGTCAGGTATAAATACAGAGACTTTCAGTGACAAGCTCCAAGCTGGCTCATGCCCATGAAAAGACTTTCCATACTTAAATTTGTGTCTGTTTTAATTCAATGACAAAAAAAAAATCTGAAACACCTCTGACATCTGGATGGTTGTAATGCATGGATTTGTTTTCAAGTATCATTGAATTTGAAACATTAACAGATAGAGCAAAAGAGGAATATTTTTTCAATTGTTTCAAAAGAACTTTTTATAGAAAACTTCCCACAAATATCAGGTAGGAAATGGTTAATTACAACACTCAAAAGTGCTCTAAAGCCACCTACAGTCATCTACAATTTCAAAATGTTCTGGGAGAGAACCCCCAACCAGTTATTAGAGATTTTTAACCATCTATCCAAAACGTGAGGCCTAACAAAACAAGAGGCCCAGAGGGCCTGTATCGCTCACCTGTTTCTTTTGTTACATGCAACTGGCATATAGGTAACTTAAGACCAAATTTGGTAACTAGAACACAAGACAATTTAACATCTCTTAAACGGTTCTGAAAATACTGTTGTTTGAAACTTAAAATTTTAATTTTAAAGCTTTAAACCATATTGACCTTTGAATCCC